GTCAGATAGGACCTGTTCATCACCATTCTCTGGGTGCGGCCCTCCAGCCAGTTAGTGACCCAACTGACTGTGTAGGTGTCAACACCACAATCCCCTAGTTTTTTAATGAGAATGGGGTGAGAGGCCGTGTCGAAGGCCTTCCTGAAGCCCAGAAAGACTACGTCCACTGCTACCCCTGCGTCTAAGGATTTTGTGACCTGGTCGTAGAAGGCCACCAGGTTGGTCTGACAGGACCTGCCTCTAATGAGCCCATGTTGGTTGACCCTAAGCATAACCTCCCCTGCTGGCCTCTCGTGGACATGCGCCAGGATAATTCTCTCAAAAAGCTTACCCGGGATTGAGGTAAGACTAACTGGCCTATAGGTCCTTGGGTCCTCCTTCCTCCCTTTTTTGAAAATGGGAACCACATTGGCCCTTTTCCAGTCCTCTGGCACCACACCAGAGCACCACGAGTGCTCGTAAAGCCATGCCAGGGGTCCCGCAATGACCTCTGCTAATTCCCTCAGCACTCTGGGGTGGAGGTCGTCTGGACTTCATCCTTAACTATTTTTGTGACTGATACAGCAAGTATTTGTTAAAATGGTTACCTATGGCAAGTGCCAGTACCACTGGTAGATTGATTTTGTGGACTTTAACCCTGACTATCCCTTGCAAAACATATATGCAGTGTTTGAATAGCAAGGAGGGAAGTGTTTGCAGGGTGGTGAAAGAATCAGAATAAGGAGTATTCCATTGTAAGTAGATCAGAACTGTGTTTTACTTAGATGAGATCAACCTTTTTGCACTCAGTTGGCTTCTCATGCAAAGCTCTGAGAAAAGAGCTGACAACTGACGCCCATGAAAAAACCAACTTGCTAAATGGGTACTTTGCGTTGGTCTTCCACCAGTCCCAAGGCCCATTACAGGACAGGAAGGCCTGGGTGAGGGAGATTCCTTACCCTCCATCAATGCTGACCTTATCAAGGAACACCTTGAGAGGCTGGATAACTTCAAGTCAACCGGCCCTGATGGCTTACACCCCACGGTACTCAAGGAGCTGGCAAGCATCATAACCCAGCCCCTGGCATGGATCTTAGAAAACCGGTGCTCTGGTGAAGTCCCCAAAGATTGGAAGAAGGCCAACATGGTGCCTGTCTTCAAGAAGAGGAGGCAAGTGGATCCAGCAGACTACAGGCCCATCAGCCTGACCTCTATCCCACGGAAGAGCCTAGAAAAGATTATCAAAGAGACCATTCTCAACAGACTGGCCGATGGCAAAATCCTGAGCGCCAGCACGGGTTTGTCACGGGTAGGTCTTGCTTGACCAATCTCATTTCCTTTTATGACCAGGTGACCTATCACCTGGACAAGGGGGAAGAGATTGATGTATATCTTGACTTTAAAAAAGCCTTTGTCTGGTATCCTATGATCATCTCTTGACAAAACTGGCCAACTGTGGCCTCGGCTTCTTCACGATCAGCTGGCTGGGGAATTGGCTACGTGGTCGGACCCAGAAAGTGGTGGACGACGGAAGTCAATTGTCATGGTGCCCTGTGACCAGTGGGGTCCCTCAAGGCTCTGTCCTTGGGCCTATATTGTTCAACATCTTCATTAATGATGTGGACATTGGTGTCAGAAGCGGACTAGCCAAGTTTGCTGCTGACACCAAACTTTGGGGTAAAGTGTCCACACCTGAGGACAGGAGGGCAATCCAGGCTGACCTTGCCAGGCTCAAGAAATGGGTAGACAAGAACCTGATGGCATTTAACATAAAAAAATACAAGGTTCTCCACCTTGGGAGAAATAAGCATGCTGCAGGTTTTAGGCTTGGCAGTGCTATGCTGGCCAGCACTTCGGACGAAAGGAACTTTGGGGTCATGATTGACCACAAGATGAGCATGAGCCTTCAATGTGATGCTGCAGCTAGTAAACCAAGCAAAATGCTGGCATGTATCCATAGATGCTTCTCAAGCAGATCCCGGGATGTCATTCTCCCATTGTACTCGGCCTTGGTGAGGCTGCAGCTGGAGCACCCCGGCCAGTTT